TGTCATCTTCCACTTTTCATCCTGAGCAGAACCAGATTTCAGCATTTGGGCTCTTCTATATTAAAGTATTCCTCCTTGATTTCCTTTACTTAGTGTATCATTGTAATAAACAGTAAATTTCACTTTTCTCAAGAATAAGGCAGACCTTAACATCGGAGTGACTGCTGTACTATGCCATAGAGGTCAGGAAAGCTCCCGCATTTGTCACAGATCTCTGCTATAATGATTGATTTCAAATACAATATCCCTTAAAAGTGTAACTTGCTTGGCGTAAAGAGTCCAGTGGAGAGATGAAAAACAGCCCAGGTGTTGCTGTCACTATTTCTAAACACTAACTGACATTCTTCTTCTTATATAGTTTATAGCAGCAAAAGTGCCAAAATATTTATTCATTTGTGTAACTGAAATTTATATCTTGTTGAAACGTGCAGTTGTGCCACTTTACTCTTCACTGGTTCGGAGCTAGTACAGGCAGAGATTATCTTCAATCTATAGAAAGATTGCCAATTGCATTCCAACAGTCAGAGATTGGGCAGGCTTCAACAAGACAATTAGCTGAACAACATGAAAATTGCAGCAGAAGTCTATTTTCATGTGGCTGATATAAACTGGATCTTAGAAACTTTGGGGTGGAATATCTTGGGAATTGGTTGAGATGCAGGAGACAGATAGGAGAGATAAAGGGAATGTTTTCTAATTGTTAGTTTGTGACCAGAGGCAGATAATCAATTAGTGTGAATAGGAATCCATTTCATTTTGAGCTGGTGCTGGCTCCCTTCAAACTTCATAAAATGAGGCCACTGGCACAATTGAGACGGCCTCCTAGTGACTGGTCCACTGCTGCCAAAGCCTCCTTGCCCTGTGACGGAGCAGCAAGTCTGAAAGGCTATAGCCCTATCAATGATTGGGCCTGTAGAGGGATTTGCGCTCCATCCTGATGTTCCAACTGGTTTTGGGAGTCTTCAGCGTAACTATTCTCTGTTGGCCAGCTGGGGAACCTCCATGTCCAGACACTTCTGTGGTTTTCCAACCTACCTCAGCAGTGCCCATCTCCCCTAGTGGGACTGCAAAGGTTGAGTCAGAAATATCAGGGTCAGGTGGAATTCAAAGTAGGGAACTGTGAGATCATCTACGTTGGATCAAGAGAGAAGTTGTTTTGATGAAGGAGAGGTAGTGTGTTTCTAATGGGCCTCTAATGGGGTTATACTATATTGACTCCTGGGACAGGCATCGCTGCTAAGCCACTAAATGTGAATCCCAGGTGGCATTTCTCATTGACATCATGGATGAATGTCATGCAGACCACACAAGTTGCTACATTAGTAGGTATCACGTTAAAACATAAATGAAGACCAATTCTATTTTGTCATAGGAATCTTTGTGTAAATGCAAATTTATCCATCTGATTTTTCTGTTGCTTGCATGCTTGCAGTTCTGTGCTCTGCTCTTTCTGAGGACCAAAGAAGGTGATATTGCAATAGTAAGTAGCAACACTGCCACATCTTTTTATCATCCAATTGAAAAACTCCCGAAATACTAATTCAGAAACTTCTTTTCAGACTTGCAACCACTTCCTTCCTGTATAGCCTGATCAACTGGCGTTGGTATGACTAAGATCCATTATCAGTGTAAGAAAGAAGACATTTCAAACGCTTCTACTTTTTTTTGAAAACAGCATCTAAATATCAATTATCAGAAAGTTGCAAAGTCATAGGGGTTTTTTATACTCTGCAAATACCCTGAATTAATATTCAACAGGGGTAAGTTGTCATTCGACAAAACTAGAAATATAATGAGTGAGAGATTGCCTCTGGGTGACTCAGTTCAAAAAGTGTGTTTGAACAAGCTTTGGCCTCAAACCTCTGCTTTATATGTGACAATGCACCACCACCTTTAGATTGACATTATTAAGTCTCAAGTCAAAAATAAAACTGAACTAAAATATGGACCTATATTAGTTGCTTTTGTAACTGTAGTGAAGTGGTGTGGGTTCTGTTTGAGTTTTAATTAGGGCCATTTGTCATGTATTCTACTGCTGTAGTCTCCAGGCCACTGACTGCACATTAAGCCTTGAGACATTGAACAACATACATTTTAATTTGACCTAAAGGTTGACTTTGGCTTTGGATTTCACAGACGGTTGTAGTTTAGGTGCATGCTGCTCCATGATAAGCTTCAGTGTTTTAGGCACAGTGGGTTCTTCGAATGGGGTACTGATGCATCAGCATGAGACATTGGTTATTTGTCAGCTATTGTTAATGAAAATATGCAATTCGTTGAATTCAAACAACACATCACTTGCTAAAACGATAGTTTTGTTTCAGATATTAAGAGCTTTTCTTGTCATTTATTAGGACAAATAACCTGTTGCAATATAACATCTCATGACATATCCTGAAGATTTTGACTTTTACCACACCATGATTTATTGCGTCGAAATTTGTTGCATAATGACGGGGACAGTTTTCTTAGCTGATCTCTTCAATGACAATTTACTTATTGCAAAACATTTGCTGAACTTTCAGTTGCTGGTTGATATTTTAGATTTGTCTGAAATCACAAGACAAAGGGGTGAATTTTCATTGGCATTTCACACTCAAAATCATCAAGGTTGGCTTGCACTCTGACTTCCATTCCTAGTACACCTATCATTATACCTGGCAGTCTTGGTTGACGTGGCTCATGTGCCTCGTTTAAGCCGTAGAAATCAGGGGTCTGTGATAAATACGAAAGGCTTGGAGCAGTTTCAGGTGCCAATCGATGAAGCCTCAATTAAAAGTATTATCCAACGATACTACATTATCATACTGTTATATGTTGATTGTTTCAGATTCAATGTGCCAAAGAAATAAGACCATAATGCCCTCTCCTGTATTTGGTTTCATTGGTTACAGAATGCTTAGAGAGAGATTACTTGCAGAGATTGGTCTAGATAAGGTTCAAAATATTTAAACAGAATGCCAATTCAATACTGCTCAGGAAGAGGCCCTTCAGCCCACCATGCCCATGTGTGGTTTCTATCCCTCTGTTCCTCTCCTGTTCATGTGTCTATCAAGATATGCCTCAGACGGTGCTATCATGCCTGTATTACCACCTCCACTGACAGTGCGTTCCAGGCACCCACCACCCTCTGTTTGAACAACATTCGCCCTCTCACCTTTAACCTGTGCCCTATCAACAGCTAGAGATACTACAAGTCCTGCTTCCCCTGACAATCTGGTATGGCACTTATTTCAGCTATCTTTGTAGAATGAAAAGCTGTATGATGCATAGAAGAATGAGGCTCACCAAAATTTGAATATTTCTGCATCCAAATTTTGTTTTCAGTCAACTGATCTACATGTCCTACAAGTTCAGATAAGATATTTAGGGTATCATAATTATTTCAAGTGTACCTCAGCAAAGGCAAGAGTTCTAGTTCAACTTTCACGGGTTTTCAAAGTTGACAAATATTCGCTTTGGGATCTTCCACAATTTTAAAATATTGTTATTAACGCTCTATGTACATTGGTGTTGGCGCTGTTAGCAATGACACAATCTAGTCACATTTTCTTGTAATAACCGCTGCAACTCCTCCCATGCCACAAGTTGCTCAGGCACAAATTGCACTATGACAAACTCGAGCTAAAACTAAGCAGCTGTCCAAATTAGGTCAATTTACTATCCTCTGACGCACTTCATTACCACTGCCAGATTCAGCTGCTATGTACCTCCAGGAACTGTGCCAAGATTTTTTTAAGCTATACCACTTGGAAAAATACAACTTAATTCCAAGCAATATTGACACATCCTACATGTTTTTCTTTCCTGCTCCTAAGCAGTATTTTCAAAGGAGAATCTAGCATATTGGATCATATTCTTGACTTGTTCTTTGTAGGTGGTCAGAAGGTCTTCTTACCCATTTTCAGTATGTGAGTGTGTTGAATCATGTGGAACACAAAGTCCTAAATTTTGATTTGTCATTATGTTAGTTGGTATCAACTGTTTCAGGGTGGCACAGTAGTCCCCCTTGATTAGGGAATTATTGAGGTTCCCTCTTCCTGATCACTTTGCTGGAAGCTACAAGTATGTGGATGTTGATTAAGGGTAGGAATACTTTGGTTGTGATGATTAGTAGAAATAGCTTTCTAGTGCTAATGCTACTGGGTAAGTTTAAAACTGATCTGGAATGAAACCTAGTGACCGTAACAGTGGGAATTAATCTGTCAATTTCCATAAAAGTCTTAAACATTAAGTCATCTTCAATGAATTGTGACAAATGCTTAGGTTGATAAAAGGCAAATAAGAATCGTACTATTCAATTGCAAGGCAATGACCATCTCCAGCAGAAGTGCAATCCAGCTCCTATTGACAGTGACATTAAAATAGTGAAATGATTTGGTAATGGCAAAAACACTACATAACTGCCAAGTTGTTGGTCGCCCTGAGCAAGGAACTAAACTGCACCACCCACTTAAATGCAAGGGCCAGCAGAGAAAGTCAAAAGCTGAATTCTTGGAGGCAAACTGGCTCACTTCCAGACTCGTGCCCCTTTCTGACCAGCAGGGTTACAGAACGTATCCAGAAATACTTTATTTTTGTCTGGATGAGGTAGCTGCTTCAATAAGGTCAACACCATCCATTGCAAAGCAAATTGCTGTCAGTGCTTCACATTCTCCTATTAATGATTTACACTGTCCATCACTTGTGTGCCAGGAGTGCAATTTCTACTATCTACACGATGGGCTTTTGCAACATACCAAGGTTTCTTTGGCAATACATCCCAAACCCACAACCTTCACCTACTGGAAAGACAAAGACAGGATGGAAACGCTGTTATCTTCAAGTTTCCTTCCAAGTCACATCCAACCCAAATTGGACATGGATTATCATTCTGTCATCATTGCTGGGTTAAAATCCTGACATAACAGCATTGTAAGAGCATATGGGACCAATTTTCTTCCCCAGAGTGATTTATCATTTATTTCAATCAATCATTCAGAAAAAATGTACATCAGGAGTTTCAAGAAATGGGTTTATTATTTCAAAAATATATGGAAACCACAACCGTTTATACAAAAAAAATATTTAATATTACAAATTTGTAGTCACTGTACATGAAATTACACATTTTGCATTATTTGCAAAACCTCCAAAATTATGCAAAATATTTTTCCAGCTTGTTTCATACAATTCTCAAATTCAATGCAGATAACCAGCTGCAACACTAGCCTTTCCTAGGTGACTTATAGTTTATATATAAAACGAATCTCCTTGTACCTGACCCGAAATAAACTAATGACCTTTTTCTTTTGGTTAGATAGTTTAAGTTCTGCATATCCAATCAGAGGCCCACAGATGTAGGAAACCTGAGTAGAGCCATTACAAGGTAAGATTCAAACTTCCTTGCCTTATAATTATCAACAGTAAAAAGATTGATCAAAATGAAAGACCAGTTTCATTAAATGAGCATCGAGCACCTGGAAGTTGTCTCAATTCATGACCCAGCCATAGAAGTTCATTCAAAAAATTTTCCATTGATTAACCACAGTTACTTTAAGATAGCTCTTGGTACTTCAGCCTATCAAAAATATTTGCTGCAACCCTACAAGTAAGCTATATAAATAATATATACACATATATTTACATAAACTTTATAATACATGGTATATTAGAAAAGACCAGTGATAGAATCCTTCACCAGTGTATTGCTGCAAAAGGACTGCATTTTTAATTACCTTCTGAAAACACTGTACTTGTACATCTCTCCCACACTTAAACCACTCAGCTGTCTTTCACAATGCCTTAACCTTGGCAGCAAAAAAAATGATAGCTCTGCGACAGGAAACAGCTGCCAGAGCCATTTATAAAGCTGTTAAATTACCTTGCAGTATTTAAACTCCAACTTTTAAATGTTATCAACCAGTTTCATGCCTCCACTAAAAAGGATAGCACTAATTCTTGGAACAGTCAACACAAAAGACAACGACATATGGGAACTCTTGGTTTTACAGGCTGCAGATGTGACTACCATTGCAAGGGATTAATGATAGTTTAACATGCAATACAATTTCCTGATAGTTGCTTAGCAACTGTTCAACGTTTCCACGTTTTGTTCAGAAGACATTGGCCTTTGGTCTCTGAGGAACACTTAGATTTATCAAAGAAATAAACAAAGATGAGAATAACTCCACTGTAGGGTGCAACCCAATATTTTCAAGGACCTGACTACATTAGGGCTGATGTGAACTTGTATCAATGTTTGTAGCCCATTTCTCAACATAGCAAACCAACTGTTTCATGTGGCAGATAAATATTAACTAACTCGAGATGAAAGGCATCATAAAACAATGGACAGTGTTGTGCTTGTGGGAGTGACCCTTAATTGCAAATAAAACACTCCCATTTTATGGAAACACGTTTGGTCTGAAGCTACAATAACAAATGTACTCATGTTATTGTTAAATAATTTCTTGCTGGCACTGGATTGTTTGTAGGAGTACTCAATGTTTTCAACAAAAAGAAGAAAGAAAAGCTCTTGTTTAAAAATTAGGCAACATGCAATCAGAAGGGAAAATGCATCACTGCACTGAATCGGTGTAATAAATCAATACTTCACGCCTCCACCAGGTTAGCAGTAACTATATTAAAAAGGGTTCCGTTGCCAGTTGTCAATTTTGGCTAAACAAATCAAAAGGAAGATGCCTCCCTAACTGCTCCTCCCTGCAGAACGCACGTCTCCCCACCATATCAGACCAGTCCATAGTGAACTCATTTGACCACTGCCAGTCACATTCTCACTGTTAGGAAATTACAAAGAAACAAAGTGGCTATAAAGGGACAGCAAACACATCAATCCTCAGTGTCTGGCTGAACTCCGAGCATAGCATGAAGTTCCTCTGCTGTGTATCCGAGCAGATTGTGAAGGTCGCAGACGAAGCGGTAGACATATCTCTTGCCACATGTCTTGTGGATGATGTTCTTGTCATAGTAATAGCGTAGACCCCTGCTCAATTTCTCATAGTTCATTTTGGGTTTGTTCTTGCGTTTGCCCCATCGCCGAGCAACCTGTGACCCAGCAAGAAAGCAGAAAAAGATGTTGACACATTCAGGATCACTGCTGCAGCAAAACAGCAGATCATTTACTAAAAACAATGTGCTGATAAATATAGTAACTGGGTCAATAAGACTCAAAATTGATATCAGATTGACATTAGATAATTTTGACTATGCATAGTTACTTTACATTCCCTGCTCTTAGTGTACGGTATTTATTTCTTCCAAGCATCTCTGCATGAACCATCATTCTGGGGCTGAGTATGAGCAGCAGCTCGTGACCAATTTTCAGGCCCATGTCAGTAAAACTTCTCTTCTCTGTTGCTGCCTTCCCAAGATGATTTAGCTAGGATCACATCTGTTGGTGCCAGGCATTACTGGATTGAGGAATGAGGACAAACCTTCTACCCAAGGGCTACAAATATGAATCCTGGTGTAGGTGCACATCCCTGTCATTCACAATGTGACTCAAGAGATTCTAGTGACTTTTACTTTCTCTGAAAATAGCTAGGAACTGTCTGCCAAATGTCGAGTATTTTGCTTTAAGTATTTAAACGGTGACTGAACCCACTCCCAACCCACATGCTGATAATTTAGGAGATTCTTACTTCATCAGGGTCAGTCAGTTTAAACTCCCATCCATCGCCGGTCCAACTGATAAACGTCTGACAGGATTTATCTGTCAGTAATTCCAAGAGGAACTGCCAAAGTTGAATGGGTCCACTTCCTGCACAAACAAGTGTTAAGAAGGATGCAAATTAAAAATGGAAACACATTTTGGTGATTGAAACTTTTTTGATCAGGATCTTGAAAACTGATTATTTTTGTAGAGCATTTAATTCTAATTATCAGGCATAAAAATAATACTGCAAACACTCATGTTCTGTAAACTAATGGGAAAAGTCAGTGGTTTCTCGACCATTGGCATTTTATTCTGAAGTAACATAGTTTGAAAATAATTTCTCATAAAAATACTGTCACCCATTCATATAAATCAAACAAGTAAAATGGCTGATCTTGAGCTGGGATTTTTTTACTAATAATAATCTGTTGAAAAGTACTGCCTTACCGTCTAGTTAATGAGTCAGCAGTTTTAACCTAATTTGCAGATCTTTAAACGTGTCAAACACAGGGCTTTCTTTTTGCCAGCTGGAATATCTGACTGTGACTAAGTCATGAGCTCTGTAGGAAGAGTGTGGCTGTCTCGGTGCTAAGAAGTGACGCTACTATGTGTTAGATTTCTTCAGAAATCCCCACCATCACGTACTGTGGAACAGGTCAAAGGACTAGCAATTTTTTTTAAAACTTCAGTCCCCTCCCCTCACTTCCCACCAGCGCTTGTTGTGTACTGGCCATGGCAAGTGGCAGCCCTCCACTTCTTTCTCAAGAAGATTATCCAATCTTCTTGTATGAACTTGAATTATTATTGTTGTTAACTATTCAGAAATGTAACCCAGCTGTGTCAGATTCTCTACCCACCTGAAGTCTATCAACATATGCTGGCCAACAAGCCTCACTGGACAGTAACAAGAGGTGGAGGTGGAATGCTTTGATTGTTTAAAAGAATCCTCCCAGAGTAGCCAAGATCACATTTAAGTTCTGCACCGAGATCAAGTAACTCAGCAGATATAGGCCAGCAGATATTGACGCGGTATCTTTTCACAAAGGGCAGGACATTTTCCTCAACTTAATGTAGATAAGAGATCGCCTTAAGCAATGTTACCCGATATCATTCAACCCAAGATTTATTTTATGGAGTTGCTTGGCTTTTGAAGAATGGTTGTGATTTGATGTACCTGTACAGGTACTGTTTTCCTTTCTCAAATGGGAAAAAAATTCAAAGATCCTTAGCCAGCACAGTCAAAATCCACAACCACTTCCATCTAGAAGGACAAGAGCAGCAGACACATGGGAACACCATGATATGCAAGTTCCCCTCCACACCACTCAACATCCTCATTTAGAAATATAATGCGTTCAGTTCCACTAGGTCAAAATCATTGAATTGCCTTCCTAAAGGTATTGAGGGTGTACCAAACAGAGTGTTCAGGAAGGAAGCTCACCACCATGTTCTTAGGGACAATAAATGCTGCCCCAGCCACTGCAGCCCACAACCCATGAGTGAATAAAAAAAAAGATAACACAAGGAATTCCTTACCCGTGAATCCAGCCAGGACTGCTGCTGGGATGACCGGTTTTCCTTGCTCCAATGGGTCTTTTCTCTCTTGGATGTAATCTTTGAAAGAGATATTCGGTTTGTTCGGACAGAGAGGCTGGCTATACTCGTCATCAAAGCTATCCTGAGAAGGAACACGCTGCATGTCACACAGAGATGACTGACTGTTCCAAGATTTCAGCAATGCCCCTGCACTGTCGAAGCTATCGACGCTTTCAAGAGATCCTGGCTTCCTGCTTTCAACTGACAAAAAAAAATGAAATGAAAGGAAGAAGTTTGAAAATGCACGTAAAAAAAAAAATTATGAAAAAATCTTGTTCCCATCTCCCTTCAAGTAATTCTTTGGCTTATTTGATATTGTTCTTTATTTCAATTCTGTATCTTTTGCTTCTTAGTTCCATCTTGCCTGTGAAACTATGGGCAAGATTACAACACACAAGCTCGTTTGCCTGGCATTAAAAATCAGCTCCCATATTCAGCAAAGCCAACAATTCACCCTCTCCACCAATACTGAATAACACATGCACATGCGCATACGCGCACGCACAGTTCCCCCTGAACACTTACCCTGGTCGATTATGCCAACTTGCAGACTGTTTGCATTCATTCGCTTTTGCTGCATGGGGTAGTAGCCCATGTCCACCTTATTCAGATGTGGGTTAGAAAGAGTCGGAAAGCCTTGGTTCAAATTGAGAAAATCTTGGTTACTCGAATCCGATGAGATCTGACAAAGCTCTGACAGGAAACTTCCGGTAAGATCAGAAAGCTGGTCTCCACATTGGGACTGATTGGAGCAGAATGCTGTAATATATTTCAAAACAAAAACATCAAATCAACTGGATTGTTATTCAAACTGCCACTTTCATTTGGTCTGAATGGGACAGAGTCGACAAGAACCAAAACTTTAACTATCACTCCAAATTCTAAACAACAGTTGCAACTGGAGTCAGTATTATCTGGAATTATTTGATGCTCAATTGTGGCTACCACTAATTGGCTCCTGTTTATCTCACATCAGATGCAGTTTTCATACCCTCCAGCTCCATTCTTCTTGCAAGTGGCTGATTTGACTTTGCTGATGTACAATGAACTACTGCCTCAAAAACTTGATTAACTCTGTATGCGTTATGCCTGTCAAATGTCGGAGTCAGAGTCAAACTCTGAAATTTCAAGGATAATGTGAAAAAACTGCTGGGCTTAAAATTTCTCAGTAATTGAGCAAAAATTATGTTAAAAAATCATGTTTTTATTGGCTCAAGGATATCAATTTAAACCAAACCTAAACAAACTAGTCTAATCTGCATTCATCTTGGAGTCTTTCCTGATCTGACATGTCTCCAAACATTGACAAACAAAACTAATCTAACTAAATGTTTTGAGAAGGGCAGGCTGTAACTCATAACATAGAACCCAATATGCAAAAAAAAAGTAATTACTATGAGTAATGTTATCTAGCCTGACTCTGCTGAAAGAAGAACCAACAGCTAGAAAAATTCCTTAAGCCACAGCAATTAGATTCTTATTGATTTCAGAATGTGCCTATTGAGAGCAGGGCTGGAATTATATGGAGGTGAGACAGAGGTCTTGGACAGCAGCTGGACAGCAAGCAACAGACCCACGATGCTGGTCTCGAGAAGGCAATTGCTGAATTATGAACCAAATTAGTCAAGAGGCCATCGGCTAAGCTGCTAGATCAGGAGCCTGGGGCAGTAATCCTCGGCTGCCAAGAGATGCAGGCCTTTCAAAGGCTCAGAATAATGGACCAATCCAGTACATAGGCAACAGATGGTGGGAGCAGCAAGGACAGGGAGGGGGCTCTTAGTCATTGAGTCCTACAGCACAAAAACAGACTCTTCAGTCCAACTCATCCGCACCGACCAAGTTTCCCAAACTAAGCTAGTCTCACCTGCTCCTCTGATGCCTGCTGTGTTCATCCAGCTCTACACCTTGTTATCCCTAGTCTCACTTGCCCGTGTCTGGCCCATATCCCTCTAAACCTTTCCTATTCATGTACCTATCTTTTAAATGTACCTTCATCTACCACTTCCTCTGGCAGTTCATTCCACATACGAACCATCCTCTGTGAGAAAGTTGCCCCTCAGGACCTTTTAAATATTTCTCTTCCCACCTTAAAATATGCCCCCTGGTTTTGAACTCCCACCCCAGGGAAAAGACCTTTGCTATTCATCTTAACTATGCCCCTCATGATTTTATAAACCTCTATAAAGGTCACCCCCTTAACTTCCTACACTCCAGTGAAAAAAGTCCCGGCCTATCCAGCCTCTCCTTATAACTCAAATCCCCCAGTCCCAGCAACGTCCTGGTAAATCTTTTCTGAACCATCTTCAATTTAATAATATGCTCAGTGAGTTATCACTTCGTGGTGCTGGGCCGATCAGTCAAGCACTGATTCAGGAACCCCAGCCCAGGGAGACCACTTGCTTGTCATTCCCCACCTAGTGGTTTTTCTTGTCTGATTAAAAAGGTTGCCTAGCCACCAATCCACAAATGGGGATGGCACTATACCTCCCCAACCGCCCGGACATGGGAAATTGGTTTTTATATTCATAGCAATCCTAGTATTATGAAAAGGCAGACACACAGAACGTGGGTGACTTTTTAAAAGGGGCTGTTGGCTTGCTGAATGTTCCATGTTCATCCTGTTTTCATGAAGTGTCTGCAATGTCTCTTCTGAAATTTGTGACTCAGGAAATTTGATGCCCCACGCTCCCCCCAACAATCAGACTAATTTTCATCCATACTTCCTGATCAAATTACCCCACCCACAAATCTGACTTTAACTGAAGGCTATACTTGGTTTTAGCTTCAATAGTGAGACTGGCAAACGAAGAAACCCATCCAGTAATTCTGGTGTTCAAATAAAACTGTATGGTGGTCCTTTGTTAATGGGATGTTTTGGTAGAGCTGCATGTAATATGAAAATGCAACCATCTGTGTATGGGAACTTTATACCAAAAATCTACTTAACCAGTTGCAGAGAAAAAAAAATCCCCAAAATGATGCATTATCAGCAAAAAGCATGAAAAGTTTTCGATAAAACAGATGGAGTATCTTAGTAGACAATGCAATCAAAGGAGCTTAGATGAGGAGCTGCTCTCAGCGGCTGTGGGATTTTCTCCAGCAATTGTCACTGAAACCTCTAATATGGATTGAGGTTATTCAGCCCAACAGGACAATGTCAGAATACATTATGATCAGTGAACTTGGAAAAGACGTACCGAGGAAATTGTTATTATCCACCCAGCGGGAGCTTGTGTTGATGAGAGGGGAAGTTCCAAAATAGTTCAATTGCGGTGCTTCCTGGCAATCTAAAATTCAGAATGACAAAGAGGAAACCAGATTAATTTTTTTGATTGAAAGAGCAAAAGGCAGCATTACTTCAAATACTTAAAATGTAAAAGGTTCAGAGATCAGGAACCCCACACATTGTAAATCACAGGCACAACCAATGTCTGCCAAATTCAAAATGCAGTATACAATGGAATTGTGTATCATTTAATCATACCAAAAGCTAAATCCAGAGCAAGAAGATCGTTATTAGACAAGCACTTTGGATTGACAATTATATCTAATATCAGAACCTTATACTGTTCTGCATCTCAGAGGAACAGTCAGGAAACAGTGGCTTATTTAGGCTTCTTCTTTAAGCTTAAAGCTTATCCATTGGATGAGGGGTGCAAGTTTTTTTGACATCCATACTCAAAAGTGATTGGCCATATTCAGTTTAAGCATAGTTAAAGACAGAGACTGTCGGATGGGATTCAACTAAATTGCTACTCAGGGGATTATTCTTGCTAAGCTGCACTTAAAAGAAGGATAAAGTGAATTATTTGTCTCACATTTTCCAAAGTATTTTCATTAAATACAGCTTAGAGTGATTAAGTCTTAGAGCACTTTTGGTGCAGAGGTTGTGTCTATTCCTCTGGGCTAAACAATCTGGGTTTAAGTCCTGCCTGATTTGGAGGTGTGTCATATCGTGCCTGAACAGGTTAATTAAAATAACTAGTGATCAGCTCTCAATCTTATAGGAAAATCTTCTATATTCAATGGGTCTATGCATTCCCAAACCAAACCATAGCTGTTGTCCCTGGTATGCACATTAAAACTAATTACTTTCACTAGCAAGAGGGTGATTGCTATCAGAAGCAGAAAGTTTTATTGTGACATTAGAGGTCTTGCAGTAAAAGGAGATTGTTAAAGCTGTAATGAGGGGTTTTTACTCTACATCAGCCTTGTGGCACAGGACTGGAGATTATTGAACAGGAATTCTCTTACCTCCAACGAGCGAAAAAAGTCTAAGCATTGAATACCTAAAAGACATGAAGTTTCCCCAGTAGCACAGCTTTCATACAAAATTACAGATACTCAAGATGTGCTCAACGGGGTGTGTTACTAAGTTTGCTGATCCCTACCAAGATGATTTTCCAGGTTCTAAAACTGGTCTCTGAGTTAGACTAGGGGGAAAAGAAACAAACAGGTGAGACTGATATCCAGTGATAATTACTGGATGAACAAATAATACTTGTTGCAAGTAATATAGGTCATACTGGGGAGGACAGTTGTGATGGATTCTGCAGATGAACAGACATGCCAACATTAAATGTGACGAATCACACCAGTGCCATTTGGTTGAGATACTGGTAGGCAATTAATGGTCACAAAACAGCACATAGGCCACAAACAGCATTTGAGGTAATTGTTTGACAAGAAAGACTCAACAATTAATAAATCGTAGAGACTAGTTGATGAGACTATTCCCTTTAGCTAGGAGTGCCTCATTAATTAGGGCCACTTGTTTCACGCTTTTAAAGGAAATATTTCTAATGATTGTTATACCTTTCATTAGTTGGTCCAAATGCTCCCAAAGAATGTCTCCAATGAAATCAGGTGCCAGCTCCAGAAAACGTTCCTTCCCAAGATCACAGAGGACCTGACCAGTCATGTAGAATTTTTGGAAATTGACATTCTCCAGACTGAACTCATTCACAGCCCAGTGCAGCCACTGATTGACATGTTGCTCAGTCCAAACATGAGGGTCTTGAAAGAAATCAAAAAGCGAGTTTAACAGCAAAATATGTATCAAAATTGGACTTAGACATGCTGATATTTATTATACTGTTTCCAAAGATAAGTGTGTGGGTCGTTTATGCTCAGATCAAGGTTTGTGTGTAGTGGGAGTGACTGGATGAAGACATGTAGGTTTTAAATATGTACCATGCATGCGGTTACCTTTATATAAAATCTTCATATCTAAAAGAAATAAAAATGATCTTCATCTGAGATCATTCTTCACAATTCTCCTGAAGGTGGCCAGTCATACCACCATGCAGTATGGCCATTCAGGCCACAGTCTCCTCAGGTAAAATAACAAATCACCCAACTACTCATTACTCATTTGGTGAGTATGATTGAACCCTGGACTCACCCAGCAACCAAACACTTTGCAGTGATATCACCATGCAATTACTAGGAATGGAATTTTAATGTTTATGGCTCACGGTGTGTATATCTTGAAGTTTGAAACCTTTTGCAGACATTGTTTAGTCTATATTAAATTTGGACTGCTTTGTCCAATAACAAATACTTTCCATTTACTGTAATCATAACCCATGTCATTTCACTGAACAGTGGACAAGAGTAAAAATTTCTTTGTGCGCAATTTTGGGAAAGAAAAGTTAGGAAGCAAACATAAATATGGTGACCGTTTTCAGGTTGGTTACCTTTTGGGATGCTGAGACGACATCTTTCTTTAGCAAAGCCACTAAAGCTTTCCTTCAGGGCCTGGCTCATGACTGCTTTGCTGCCAGGGGTTAGGAGTGGAACCTCATTAGTTCCAACATCTGTGGACAAGAGGAACAACAAAGTGAGAAATAATCCTTTCATCATGAGTACATTTTCCTTAAGAGGTTCCTCTTTAAGCCTGCCCTCTAATAAATCCTTAAAGACAAATTTTGCAACTGTGGCAAGGTAAGTGGTGTTCTATGAATCTCCAGCGTCATGTTCCAATACCTAATTATTCAGCTTAACTGACATTTTGGATAGTTCAGTTATACCTGAACTAAATCTTCACAAATATTAATGCAGACGTTTAAAATAGCTGAATTCCACATGATGCAAATGGGTTTTTAAAACCTTTCAAAATATCTTGATAATATTGAAAACTATTGAGCTTGTGTGAAAATATTGGGTACAGATGTTATCTCTGCACATTTATTGCATTTCAGGGTGCTTTTGAGAGCCGAGCTGCATAAAACATTCCTTTTTGCTCAGTAACCAAACACTAATAGCTTTTGTACTGTTCTAAAGAGGCGTATTTGACTCAAAACATTAACGTGATTTTAGCTGCATAAACGCTGCCAGAGCAGAGTATTTCCAGAATTTTCTTTTTATTTCAGATTTCCAGAAATTCCAGGAAAGCAATATAAGCCTTGGAAGGTGTTTCAACAGACAGACAGGAAGGAAATTCACAGAAACTCTAGTGAACATGTTTTGAGTTGTTAAAACAAATAGGATTGATGAAATATTAACCTAGCTGATGCCTTATGACAACCTGCTGTTGCTCACGGAATGAGATAAAACTGCCTCATGAATAGGATTTTAAATATGACTTAGGAAGCAGTCAAAAGTCAAAATTGAAGATGTTAAGGCAAACATTTTCATTGTAGATGACTTTCTCCTGAAGCATTAACTCATACCAGGGTACAGCTCAATATATTTTGTTTACCCACCATTATCCAAGTGCTCATTTGTATTAAAGCCCCATCACATTCATAACCACTGGCCTGGAGCTAATTACGTACAGGTTAGAGCCTGAATCTTGTGGATAAGACCATAAGATGAATAAGCAGAAGTAGGCCATTCAGTTCACCGAGTCTTCTCTGCCATTCCTTAACTCCACTTTCCTGTCTTTTCTGCATAATCCTTGATTCTCTTACTGATTAACAATCTGTCTGTCCGTCTTGGCTTTGAATATACTTAATATCCCAATCTCAACAGTCCTCTGTCGTGAAAAATTTCACAGATTCACAAACCCCTGAGAAGAAATTCTTCCTCAGCTCCATCTTAAATGTGCAACCCCTTATTCGGAGATGATGCTCTCTAGTCCTAGACTCTTTCACAAGTGGAAACAACCTCTCCACATCCACTCTGTCAAGCCTCCTAAGAATCCTTTATGTTCCAAAAAGGTAAATGTCAGACAAGGTGATGTAGTCCTCTTACTAAACCAGCAGGGAGTTTCTGCTTTAGTATCTTCAAAAGCAGATGGAATCCAAAATCTCACTGTTGCATGCCTAATTCTAGCAACAACAAATTTTATATTTAAGCATGGAAGTATCCCAGTTAATTAAGCATTTACCAAATAAAAAGGAGGACATGCCAGTTGGAACCTCCTGCACGCTCTGTTCTTCATCTATATGCGACAATAATCCATTGAGTCCAGTAGCTTCATGTAAGTCAAACGCTGCCTGGCGCTGAAAAGAAAAATAAACAAGGCTTGCATAAAAACTAGCAATGACTATGGTGATAACCAGATAAATCTTAACCCCCAGAAGTGGATGGTTTTGATAATTCACAAATCGTACATAGTTAGCGCTATTTTTAAAGCAGGGAATTAGGGGTGGGATCACATGACATCTTGATTTGAACATAGATCACCTTTCCTTCAAATGTTAATAGGCTCAAAATTCTAGGATTATGGGAATCATTGGAATGCAACATTATGCCATTATGAAAAAAGACCATCATAAGTACTGTCTCTCATTTGAGGGTGGAGAGATAGACATAAACAATGGATATAAACGTGGTCTTATTCTTGCAGTCGTATCCCAAGATCAAATAGAAATAAATATTTCTGAGTCAGAAGTTTGAGAGGAAAGTGAACGGTTCACCAGATTCTTTTGTCCATAGAAAACCTCATCTTGAACCTAGGTTACTCACAGTTTAATTCAGTTGTGTAGAACATAACTGTCCAAATAATAGTGTGACAGTACTGAAATTACTCATACAACACCTTTTGGTGTTGAAAAACAATTGTAGGATGTACGGCAAGAAGAAGAATGCACTGCTCATTCATTCCACTTACTATATCCAATCTAATTTGACTGGTTTCATAGTATTTCTAGCACTTAAGGAAATCTATAAAGGTACAGTAGAGTTGCCAAACTAGTAACTTTCAACTCTATCCAAATGTTTGGCTCAGTCAACAAAAAGCATTTGGCAACTCACCACTGGTGACATTTTATCATCATGGTCTCTCAAAAGAACACCATCTCCTTTCCTCAAATAGCCAAGATTAAGGCTAGTTTTTGATATGATACCACCTGCTCTAAGATCTGGTTTTGTGCTGCATGAGCTTATTTTACACACAGAATTTAAACAGACATTGTAAAGTTGAAATCTCTGCTCCATTATTCAGAGCTAGATTTGAACCTGGTCCCTTAACAGAAATGAAGCTATAATAATAGGGAAGTAGAGGTTACATTGACAACACAGAAAAAGTTGGGACATGATTAAGCAGTAACCATACATGTAAACAATTTCACTGAAATGAACATTCTTACGTCTTTTTGTATATCAGTAACATTTCCTTAGTTTGGTCGCAGTTTGTCAACAATGTAAGAGAATGGGTGATTTTGTTTTAGAATGGAACTATACAAGAATCATTCGTTATCTCTAAGTTTGCCAAGTCCATTAATGAAACACCTTAGGTAAACTGGAAAGTCTAGTATAGCACGTGTTAAACATTTACACACTTACTCATCCAGCAATGCCTGTTGATTATAATTGGGAGGATTTTTTTTATCATTGAAAATGTGTACATATTGTGGAATGATCTCCATTCCAACATCGCATAGTTTTTCAAGGCATAATGAGATATAGAATGGTAACGATCTCACACCATGAGCTACTATGATCCTTAATTTAAAGAATGGCCAAAGCAGATTAACCACTATCTTCCAGTGAGAAATTGAATATTCACTTCAAATATTAAAATTCTGTAGAGCTATACATGAAGAAATGGGGAGCAGAACTAGAGAGTTCTTTCAAAGGGAATGTATGCTAAGTGACCTCCTTCTGTGCTTGTATGTACGTTATTCGATCTCCAATAAAAAGTGCTCATGAATCCAGATTATGCTATAAATCACTTCCTCAACAGAAACTTAGAGGAAAGCATTTTCAATGATCAAATAATACAGGGACTTTCAGTGCAAACACTGGATATATTCATCTTTTTAATCCACCAGGGGAGAGTGATGGAGCCACTGATCAGGAAGGCAAAGCACGTTGATTGCTTGCATTACAAACAACACTCACACTTTTCTAGTCGAAAAAGAGGCAAAACTTTACAAATACCTCTACAGCCCTGTTACAAAGCTGGTAAAGTGTGCAAATTGAGAGAGAGATATTTTGGGAATTTTTTTAAAAAAGCTGAATTAATGATAAACTCTTATGCAAACATTTGCAGCACATTCCAAACTACAAGTGGGCCTGCTCACATTCCTTTCTGCAAACTGAGGTATATCTACTTTCCCATACCACTGGGGACTACATTACACATCTGCACTGGCCCTTGTATACATTTGGAAGCTGACGGTGTAGCTAGATCCCAAAACACACACACAAGCTGTAATATATTCATCAGAACTTGAAAGGCCTTTTATTTATACACATATCACAGAAGTAGTTTCAGTTTTGTCAAACCTTACCTTTAGTACTCCTCGGGTCTCCAAAGCCACAGGGGCTTCCTGGTCCCTCAAAAAATCACACATGTTGATCTGTGCAGAACAAATAGGAAAGATAATTAAAAACTGACTGAAACAAACATTGTCCCCTCAAAAAAAAGGGCTTCATTTTTGTTTAGATCATATAAAGTTATGTTGAAATAGCAAAAAAGGTTTCCTATATAGTGCAGTTCTTTGGTAATCAACACTCCACTTTCTTGGGAAGTCAAAGCCAACTTTTAATCACCATCTAGGCTGTCTAATGCATTTTTTTCTTTGATTAGCTGTTCATCTTGGATTGCACCAGACACATTTCATTCCATTTACACTTGGTAAATGTACAATTAATTATGAATCAGAAGGTGCAGGATTGCAGCAATACTTGTGAATATCGCATTCACATTAACAGCTGCCCAGGGCTATGACTCAGATGCACACAAAGTTAGTTCATGGTGTCTGGTCAAAATAATATTTCAAAGCAATAGTACTCAACTTATCTAAGAATAAAATTGGGCTATCATAAATATGCTCTCATTTAGCAGATGAATAGATCATTAAATAAATTGAACATTTTGGGCTTAATGCAGTATAAATTTAGTTTGACTCGATTGTTCATTTTTCAGTTATTGGCTCATAAAAATAAGATTTCAAAGCTGGGAAAGACACACTTGTTGATTTTTCATGTGAAACCTTGCCCAGACTGTTACACAGTCTTTAAAAATAGTTAGAAAGTTTTCAAGAAATCATTCCTCAATACGTGCTCACTGCTTTGGAATGAGTACTTGACATCTTCTTTCCTTGCAGCTCCTCAAACTATTACTCTTTATTTCTTTCAGTCTTCCTTTCCTACCGCAACTGAGAGATATTTAAAACCCATCTCTAGCAATACTTAATATCGCTTCATTATTTAACTTGTTTAGCCACCTTACCCTTCAGTTCTAAATGCCATGCAATGTTCTACAGGCCAGGTAAGCTTCTCTATAATTACAGAAATAATAGTATAACGTTGAATGGCAGGCAACAGTATGAAAACTAATTTACATTAAAAAAGAATTGGTTAGCTAAGCAGTGAAAATTACAACTACTGAAGTATACAGAAACCGTGCCAATATTTCACCATCATGAAGTTTTCACAAGATCTTGCAGTGCAGGAGGAGGTTATTTGTTCTCATCCTGGGAGAAAAGAAACTGTCCAGTCAGACCCATTTCCCTGCTTCACTCTCCCTACACCCACGCAAAATTTATTTCAAAACATACATCCAATTCTTTTCTGAAAGTTACTTTCATTTTTAAATTTGTTCCTATTATCTCTGTATAAAATGTTGGTTAGGGTCACAGCTAGAGTATCATCTGCAGTTCTTGAATTCCCATTATAAGAGGGATGTGATTGACTGGAGAGGGTGCAGAAGAGATTTATCAGGTTGTTGTCTGGGCTGGAGAGTTTCAGTTGTGAAAAGAGAGTGGACAGACTAGGGTTGTTTTCCTTGGTGCAGAGGAAAATAAAGGGGGACATGATTGAAATGTATAAAATTATGTGGGGCTTAGACAGCGTAGATGTGAAGAAACTTTTCTTCTTAGCAGAGGGATCAATGCCTGGGAGCACAGATTCAAGGTAATGGAGGGAGGTTTAGAGGGGATGTGAGAAAAACTATTTTCACTCAGAGGATGGTAGGAATCTGGAACTCACTTCTCATAAGGGTAGTAGAGGCAGAAACCCTCATAAGATTTAAGAAGTATTGAGCCTGTAGGTCAAGCACTAGAAATGGGATTAGAATTGTTAGGTGTTGTTTTCGACCAGAGCAGCCTTGATGGGCTGAAAGGCCTTTTTCTGTAGGCCTCTATCACTATTTCAGGTGCTGCATTCAGATAGTAATGAGGGGGGGAAAAAAAATCATGTCTTCCAAATATCAATTATTTTACTTACAATTCTCAGCACAGAAACATGCTGTTATTTGGCCTAACTATTTCATGTTAGCGTTTGTGCTCCACTTGAACCTCTCCCACACTTATTTCGTCTTTCAATTCACTGCTTCGCTCCAGTGCTTCTCCTCTCAGCCAAAGCATCTTACTGTAACCAACACTTCATAAAAACACAGTCATATAAAGGTGCATGCAGGCATTATGTGGAGGGCAGAAGTGATCACCTCATTGTTATACATGTAACAGGATATTACTGATTACTTTTGTTGACTGAAGCAAACATGAAAGATGCCAAATACTAAACCAGCAATCCTTTGAGAATGCATGCTTGGGGGAAGACAAACTGACAGATATATTGTACATTTATGCTTTCAACATTTAATTAAAAATTGGATGGAAATACCAAAATTTTAGATCTGACATTTAACATGTAATCTGTATTAGGGATGTACCCCATTAATTTTTAGATCTGTAGTATAAGCAATATAAAGTGATGCCACCTTATCTCACTAGCCCTGCTCTTCAGACTCCATAATCAGCTTATCCTTCTGCTTTTGATGTGAATACATTATCTGACAACAAGTATGGCTGAGGCTAATCGTGTTACTAATTAGATTTATATGGTTCATACTCCACTTGCCAAAGTATTGCAAGCTCATTGCCAGTGACAAATTCAATAGATATGCCCACAACTCAAGTACCCGGTCAAGGTAACCTCTGCCAAACAATCACTCCGATTAATATTTAATATAGCAGATTGTAGATGGCGGGGGGGGGGGGGGGAAGGGTGCAAAAGTTTCATAATGACTTCTAAAGTCTACTTCTTTGATGACTTCAGAAGAAGGTTTCACAGCATTACTCTTTGACAAACTTTACAGAACCCAGCACCCTTGTCCCCTTTGATGGATTTATCAGATTAAAGTTTACAAAGCAAAATGAACCTTCAAAAAAAAATATAAATCAATCAATCAAAAAATTAGCTGCTGCATTAGTGACACTGGGGCATTATTTAATTCTCCAGGTAGGACAAGCGTAGCGCCTAACTGGTTTAAGCAATCCTATCTTCTTGACTCAGCAAAGCGCTCATGGCTTAAAATAGACCTTTTAAAAAATGGTAACATAGTACACATGGAAAAATTGAAAACTTATTTTTTTAGACCTGTCGTGATTCTGGACTTTGGGGAAGGTACTAATACAGCAACAGTCTTGTTGTAGCTGAGTGGTACTGCAGTGTCTTTGCCTTTCAAAGCAAAAGGTTTAAGACTCAGAGACCTGAGCTCATTATCTAGCCTTACGCTTCACTGCAACAAAGCAAGTACTATGGTGTTGGAGATGCAATCTTTCAGCTGAGATACTAAAGTGTTCTCTCAGGTAAATGTAAAATTCCTGTGGAACTATTTGAAAAAAAAACAGGGTACCTCCTTTGTCGTGGTTTACATGCACCTTTCAGCCATCACTGATTTAATTGTTTGTTCTGTGCAAGATGCCTATTACTTTACCTTCTCTTCAAAAGGTGCTTTAAGTACCTTCAAAGTACTTAAAAGAGTGTAAAGTATTTGGGGCACCCTGGGATACTGAAGGATGTTGTAAAAATGTAAATTAATTCTTTTGTTCACTTCTATAATGCAATCCCTGAAAAACCCTTTCACAGGCCATCTAATTTAAGATGCAGACATTTTTCCTGTTGTCACACCTACTGATACTGATAACAAGTGTGTAGATCAACCCACATATTACACAAAGACCATAAAGTCTCGGAATGATATTACTTTGATCTCAGTTTAGTATTATCTTTATGTAAATAAATATTGAAATGAGGGAATTAAACATTTGTCCTGTTGGTAGCACCCACTCCAAAGGTTGCAGACAACGGCATTTTCCACGAAACAATGCGCAGCATTACAGTAAACTACAGGTCCACTCATCCAAAATCCATACATAAGCTCTGGACCTGAAAAGTTAACTCTGGTTTCTCTCCACAAATGCTGTCAGACCTGCTGAGCTTTTCCATTGATTTCCATACTGAATACACTGGAGACACTGCTCACATTCCGGTCGCTTGAAACTTTCCACACGAACAAAGTACATATTATTCTCCAACTCAACCGAATCCATCGCAATCGCTTTCTGAGCGGGAGGCTCAAAACCACTCTGCTGTAGAGTCAACCCGAGCTGGGATGGCCACCTGGGGAAGATGGTACATCTCAGGCCTCGGGTGCCCTCGCAAGTCTTCGCTATTTGCATCTTTCGTCTTCACGCATTCTCAACTTGCTGGTTCTACTGAATGGAGGTCAGCATCGTGACTTCTGTGGCACCGCAGCAAGCCCCTATATAACCTGGACTCGACTGTGTTCTATTGTAACAAGCGATGCTTTTAACAGCTGGCAGCGCCACACACAAGCAACACAGGACTGGGGATATCAAACTTTGTGTTAGGCCAGAATACAGAAAGACTGTAAAATACTAGTGAGCAGGAACAAGCTAACGGTCTCCTTCACGTCAGAGAGAGAGAAAAAACAAATCTTTTCATATTATTTGAAGATTGGTCAGCCCACAATCACAGCTGCACAATCTCTAAGACCTAAATTGTGTACTTACAGTATACCTCCCTTCCTGCGTTATGTTTGCGTGTCGCGGGCTCGGGTCAGCTAAAATCCAGCAAAGCCTCACGATCAGTGAGTTCGATCCAATAAAATAATGATTCACGAAGCGTCGTTTATGGCGGCGGAATTTCAATGTAAAGTTTCCCAGCCCCCCCCCTCCCCTGTGCAATGCGACTGAGGTCAGACTCTTCGGCAATCTGCTGAATGAATATCGGGAGCCTCGCCTTTTACATCAATTCCCACAATCTCTCTCAACCCGCCACTTCCTCTTTATTGGACCTGCTCGGGGGGGGAGGAGGAGCCGAGAAGCGAACCATCGCCAAACAAGGTTATCGCATCAGGCTGCTTTCCCTTCCTGCTGTCTTAGCAACCACCCCTTCTCCTCTCCTCTCCCTCCCCCCCTCCGCCGGCACAGTCAGATGACCATTCACTGTTTTGTATCCAATAATGATAAACAAATTGCTGGCGAAACTGACAGACCTGGGGAGAAGGCGAAGTTATAGCTTTTGAGTCCAGTGACCCTTCGAAGAATTGCCAGATGCTGCCGTTTCGTCAGCAATTTTTAATTTGTGTTTCAGATCTCTAGCATCTGCAGTTCTTTGTTTTACTTAAGTGATAAATACTGCTTCCTGTAGGACTGCATCGGCTGTCGGTTTCTAATGCTTTTTGATAGAATTTAAGCTATGCATATTTTGATTGACAGTGATATTTAAAATATATGTAATTATGCAACACAGGAGACCTTCCATCCCCAGGAGGCTCTGGAACTCTGGCATAGCAGCCTTTTTTTTGCAATGATGTGGAGGTGCTGGTGTTGGACTGGGATGGACAAGGTCAGAAATACATACAGCACTTCAGCTGTGGCCTAGTGTCTCTTCCATCATAACGTCCCTGCCCAGAGATAACAGGGTTCAGTGAATTATGTAACTCTTCAGTCCACAGCCTTTCTTTGCAAAACTTGGTCAGAAATCATACGACACCAGGTTATAGTCCAACAGGTTTATTTGAAAACACGAGCTTTCGGATCCTCGCTAACACCTGAAAAAGGAGCGAGGCTCTGAAAGTTTGTGTTTTCAAATAAACCTGTTGGACTATAACCTGGTGAGGTGTGATTTCTGACCAAGTTCTGCAAAGAAAGGCTGTGGACTGAAGAGGTACATAATACACTGAACCCTGTTATCTCTGGGCAGGGAGGTTACGATGGAAGAGACACTAGGCCACAGCTGAAGTGCTGTATGTATTTCTGATCCACACAGTAGGATGGATGTAATTGCACTTGACAGGAGATTCACCAGGATATTACCCAGGCTGGTGCATTTCAGCAGTTAACAGAGACTTAGATAGGCTGGGGTTGTTTTCCTTAGGGCAAATAAAACTGAGAGGGGATCTGACTGAGATGCACAAAGTTATGAGTGGCATAAATGGGAAGAAACTTTCCTTCTTGGTAGAAGGTTAGAGGATATTTAAGGAAGGTTTTCACCCAAAGGGCTGTGGGAAACTGTTACTCATTAGTACAGGTGGGAATTTTTATGACATGTCAGAGGGATCACTTGAAGTGTCATAGCATCTAAGGCTATGGGTTAAGTGCTGTAAAATGGGGCTGGAGTAGATAGGTGCTTGACCAGCACAAATTGGCCAAAGGACCTCTTTCCACGTTGTAAAACTATAACTATTGGCCAATTGAATTTTCTGTCTTTTCAGAACAGTCAACTTTGCAAGGCCATGGTCACCGTCTCCCAGTTGACAGAGCCAATGTCATATCTCATTAGTAGTGAAGGTATGGATGCTGAAAGGGTTGTGACCACTGACCAATAAAACATACAGGAGGACTTTTAAGTGTACATCCATCATCCATCCAGTGAACATGGCTGAGCCAGTTCAGATATCACTGACTTAGCAATGGTGTCTATGTCATTGAATTAGCATACCCCAGAACATCTGGGTTGGTGACCTTGCCCTGCCAATAAATGGCAAGAATACATCCAAGACAGCAAAGGTGGAGACTGTTCAGATTTTTCTCCTTCCTATCATGTATTGTCTAGGTCTCAGCACTGTAGAGCAATGTGCTGAGGATACAGGCCTGCTGGGATCACACTGTGGGGTTCTGAGTCAGGTTGCAGTTGCTTCACACTCCCTTATTCAGATTGGACATTACAGCTGTAGCTGTTGTGATGCACGAGTTGTTTTCAGCATCAAGTGACTTCTTGAGTGTTGTTGGAACTGCATCAATCCAGGCAAATGGAAAATATTCCATCACACTCCTGACCTTTATGTTAGTAAATAGTGGAAAAACCTTGGGGATACAGAAAGTGATTTACTAACTGCAGAATTCCTAACCTCTGATCTGGTCTTTTAGCCATAGTATTTATATGACCACTCCACTTCAAATCTTGGTCATTCTTCAAGATGTTGACAATGGGACATTCAGCAATGGTTTAACCATAGAATGTTAAGGAGATATTCTGTGTAGATGGAGATAATCATGGACTGGCACCCATGTGTGCAAATGTCACTTGCAGTTTATCAACCCAAGTCATTCAGTTCCTGTTGTTTATGAACATAGACTGCTTCAGTACCTAAGGAGTCACAAATGGTGCTGAACATTGTGCAATAATCAACAAACATTTACACTCCCAATTTTATGCTGGAAACAACGTCATTGACGAAGCAGCTGAAGATGGTTGTGCATAGGACACTACACTGAGACACTCCCCATGGCAGAAGGCAGATGAACGGGGTTGTGAAATATATCAGCTATGATTGAATGGAGCCGAATCAGTGGGCCAAATGGTCTAATTCTGCTCCTACATCTTATGGTCCTTTGGTCTCTTGCAGTGATATCCTGGAGCTGAGATGACTGACCTCTAACAATCACTTCTTTCTTAACTGAGCCAAGTATAACTCCGACCAATGGAGATTTTCCCTCTTCATTTCCATTGACATCAGTTTTGCTTTGGCACCTTGAAGCCATTTTCTGTCAAAATTTGCCCCAGTGTGAAATGCACTCACTCTCATATCACAGCTCTTCTCTCCCTGTTTGGATTGATGCTGTAACACTGTCTGGCCCTGGTGGAACCTAAACTGAGTGACAGTGAGCAAGATATTGCTGAACAAGAACAAAAACAGTGTTTGCATGGTCTTCAATTCGTTCTATCACTTTGCTGAAGTTTGCGAGCAGTCTGATGGAATATCATTTGGCTGGGTTGGATTTATTTTGTTTTTTGTGGACAACTGTGAGCAATTTTACATATTGCCAGGTAGATGTTATTGTTGTGGCTGTACTGGAATAATTTGTCTACAGGCACAGCACTTCTCTTGAAGCTGGCAGCCTGAGAAGATCACATCATTTGCAGATTTTCCAGTTCTGAAACCTCACTAGGATTTGGAGTAGATGTGTTCAGCCAAGATATTCCGGCTGCCAAAGTCAACAAGGAAAGTGATATCCTGGAGCTGAGGTGATTGGCCTCCAACAACCGCTACCATCTTTATTTGAACTTCATCGAATGGATAGTCCAGTTCTGAAGAGGAGTTGTGCTGGACTCAAACCATTGACACCGTTTCTCTCTCCTTAGGTGTTACCAGACCTCTGGAGTTTCTTGAGTTTCTCCATGTTTGCTTCAGATTTCCAACAACTACAGTATTTTGCCTTTATATTATTTTTCCCATAATGCCACTAGTTGTTGCAATTGTTCGGGGTGACAATCTCTGTATTACATATATCCTGGGCACTGCCCCCTCCCTCCAGCAGACGCAAAGAAGTTTGTGCAATTACCATGGGTGTGCCAGTTTCCCATACTTGGTGATTTCAGGCATATAGCATCAGTTTTGCCCATGGGAAGCGAGTCAATAATTTTGCTAAGCTCTTCCACTGTGGGTTTAAAATCCCGTTGTGCCATGACAAGCAGCCCATATTTGGTGTTTAGAACTTCCTTAGTCACAATGTTCTCCATGGAGTACAATTGAAGGTAGTGTCCTACCCATCTTTCTAACTGCTAATTAAAGTTGTTGATTACCTTTCCTGCCTTTGCTTTCAATGGGACCATTTTGAACCTTAGTGGGCTTGTTGTCTTTTTGATCTCATTGTAAATGCCTCTGTTTTGAAGGGCATTGCATTATTATGACTAAATTGTAATCAGTAGTCAGTGGCAGACTACCTGGTAGTCTGTTGGACTTTACTTCATGTGGTTCTTAGTTGTTTCAGAATTTTCTTGCTCATATTCCCCTAGAAATTAATGAGAACAACCAGCTGACTTCAATGACAGGTTCCATCACAATAACATTGATATCCAACCATATGTTTGCCATGTGTTAAAAGTGTGTTTCGTAAATTGTGTCTTGAAGTACGTTCCAGCTCTGCACTCTGTGTAGGAATGCTGGGAAGTGCTCATTCAATCAAGTCAAGGAACCAATCAGTGATTTATGAAGATCTGTGAAACCTCCTTGTTTTGTATTCTATCAACTGGAGCCCAAAGTGTGTGGCAGGGTGGGGGTTAGGTAGAGGGGTAGCAATTGCACAGATGGAACTTGGAAGAAATTTTAACTGCTCAGAAGGTTTGAGTCCAGCATAGTTGTCTACCTATAATTTTATTTGCTGGTTTTGAATCTTTGTACTGCATCAGTGGGCATGATGTTTAATGTCACAATCTAAACTAGTATTAAATGACTTATGCAAAAATGGAATTTGGAGTATTTGGGAGGTTTATGAAAGAAGTAGTGAGAAACTTTTATTATGCATTCAGAACAAGCAAATTTTACTCTGATAGTTAATGATGTTTCACTGGAGATAAGTCTGGCTGCTCTCAGGAGGAGGAAGGAGATCATTTTTCACAGCAAAGGGAGTATGAAACCTTTTCCTCTCACCAAGAAAGTAAGGTTGGAGGTAGTGCAGGGGGTAAACAGCTGGAGTTTACCGTCCCTGGATATAGTGCAGGAAGTGGTTTAATGACCAACTCAGGAAAAGTGAGTATAGTTATTGCTTCAATTACATCCTGTGATGTTCACCAAACACAACCCACTTCCCACTCCATCTTGTTAAGTATAGTTCATCACACTTAAGTTTCATCCTTCATTTTGTGAGCCCATCTTCGTATTCCCATTTATCCACCCAGTGCTGTCAGTCATGCCAGGCCTTATGAAATTAGATGTGGCTGTCTAATGTTCACCCTCACCAAATGTAGTGAATTAGTAACTTTGTGTCTCTTATATGTCTGTTCATTCTTCACACTT